GAGAACAAAGTCTAATCTTACTAGCTTCAGAATGGTTAAGCTAACATGGCAAGACTCAGGACAAGTTTGACAGTGCTTGATATAAAACAGTGTGATATAGTTGGATGAGAGAAACCATAAGAAATTAAATATATCATGATAAGTGGGAATATATTAGAACAACTTCTCTTAATTGTCTAGTTAATGATTACTTTTCCTTTTGCTGATTGCTTTTCTCCTTTTTCCTTTATTCACCTTTTGGTCTGTTTTGTTTTTGTACATTATACCATAGGATATTCTTGGAGTGAAACCTATTCCTGTTGACTTTTGCCTGTGACTGTTCCTGAATGCTTCCAAAGTTGCTTGTAAATCTTCACAAAGATGCCTTATTTTATATAACTAAAATTAGTATGAAATATCATTGTAATTTGTTGAAAGATCCTTTTATATTTATATTTTAATTCTCATTGAGTTTATATTAAGTTAATAGAAACCTAATGATTGATCCACCTACTCCCCCTTGTGGTAATATTTAGTTTAGCTGAAATACTTTTAGCTGTTAATTCTTGATGTTACTTTACTATAATGAGAACAAAGATTTGGATAGCTCAAAGCAGATTTAAAAAAATAATTTAGATTGGGCTTTGTAATAATTAGGAGGGGTGACTAGCACTGCTCAACCCAGTTGGATGTTAGGATTATCTGCAGACCCTGGATCACAGTGAGAGATTGCTTTCATCCGTTTGTGGGTAGGACCCAGGGATTTACAGTTTAAATCAAATTAAATTTAATCTACTTTTAAAAATTAGAAATTTCCAGGTTATTCTAATATATAGTCAGGGTTGAGAACCACTTATATAGTTTATAATTATGCTTCCACAACTAACTGTTTCTGTATATGGGGAGAGAGCACATCATAATTTTTAACAACAGTTTGTCTATTACATTATAGTGTGCAAAGTACTTTTACATAATTTAATGATTTTTCCCAGAGACTCCTTTTATATAGTGGGAACTGGTCTTACAGTGACTGACTGGTCTCAGATTATACAACAGTTAAGAGGAGGAACTGGGATTTGAAAACCAAGACATCTGGCCTTTAATCTATCTCACCACACCAGTATTTTGACCTCAGAGTCCTCAACTGAAATGATGGATCTTGGATTATTTCATCTTTAGAACTCCTCTTATTATAAAGTACTTTTTGCCTGTGGCTATGTTCTGTAAGTTAGCTTTACACAAAATACTAAAGCCACAGTGAACTTCTTTCAGATGCAGTGTGGAACTCTCAGGTTTCCTTGGTCTGCCTCAGCCTTCTACACACCAGCACCACACCGTCAGTCTGTTGGACATTACATGGGTGGACATAGATACAAATTAAAAAATTGGAATTGCATGGACACTTAATGCCTAAACCTAATAATTACTGACTTTTATGTACAAGCTTGTGTTCTTGACTGATTGGTAAATGACAAATGAACTAGATTAGATGCAATTATTAGAATAGCACTCTTACCAGTGCAGTGAATGTGATTTGAAAACTTGAAAGCAGTCTAGATTTTATTATATTTGTTACTGTTCTCAGTGGGGGTTTGTCGAACTTAAAACTTATTTCTTATGTAAGATCCCTAGGTATTTCTAATAACTGTATTTGTTTTAATAAACTTTGACTTCGCTGTATGTTTCCATGTTCTCTTTAATATTTAGCTATTAAAGGTCAACACTTTTTTTTTTAAAAGGATGTATGTTACAAAAATCAATTGCCCTTTATTGCATAGAAAAATCTTCACATTGGCAAATACAAAATAACATTGGAATTCAGAGTCAAATTCATGCTTCACTTGGCCTGTTAACATCATCATATTTTGTATTTCACTTTTTTCCATTGACAACTTGTATCTTTCTATTAGCTATATATTATTTATTTATTTGAATATTTATGCTCTTTTTAAAAAAATCTTTCAGTAGCCCATTGCTTTTTAATTGAAAAAGTTATACATGCAGATGGCTAAAACACACTTCATACAACAGCATATAATAATCAAAATGTTTCCTTAGTACCCTAGATCTCTTAGCCTCCTTTCTCAGAAGTAGCTGTGTGTGCTTTTTTAATTTTCTGGTTCATTCTCCTGTTGTTCTATTTAATACAGATACCAAATGGGAGTTGTAATAAGCAGCATTGCGTTATATTTTTATCATACACTTAATACATTCAAGTTGTATAATCACATTCTAAATAAATGAGATATTGGCGACATTTCTATTTAAATTCTGCCTTTTATTAATGTATTTTTTTAATTTACTTTGAACATGTTACCATTCACATTGTTAAGTAGTGATCATTAAAGATGTGCTTCAGTCATTTAAAAATTAAACAGTTTTATCTATAAAAAATTGTAAATGGTGTTTACATTCAATATTAATGCATAGCATATTTTACATGTGTATTTATGTTTGTGAAAGAAATCTTTTACATATTAATGAATTGTGTCAAGGTATTATGAAAAACAAGTTATGTGAAAAAAAGGAATTTTCTTACACATTAATTAAACTTACTGGCATAAGTTGCCACTTTGCTGTTAGGTAATAAGCAGAAAACAGGAAAAAAAAAAAAAGGAGGTGGGGGAAGAGACCAGTGGCATCTTTAAGAACCCAGAACTTTGAAATTGAGACTTCTTTTGTTAATAAGGCAGTTTGAACTATGGATTAGAAGCCTTGATTTCCAGATTCTTAACACCTTTGTTATTATATTTGCATATTCTGTCTTGTAGGAAACAGTGCCAGCAATATTGACCTTTTTAATTGATCTGCTATCTATGCAGCCCTGGTTTTTCTTTTTTCATAAAAATGTAACTAGATTTTTTTTTCTTTCTCTCTCTCTTTTTCTTGTTTTTTTTGAAACTGAGTTTTTGCAATGGCACAATCTTGGCTCACTGCAACGTTCGCCTCCTGAGTTCAAGCGATTCTCCTGCTTCACCTCCCAAGTAGCTGGGATTACAGGCATGTGCCACCACACCAGGCTTATTATTATTATTATTTTTTTTTAGTGGAGATGGGGTTTCTCCATGTTAGTCAGGCTGGCCTTGGAACTCCTGACCTCAGGTGATCTGCCTGCCTCAGCTTTCCAAAGTGCTGGCATTACAGGTGTGAGCTATCGCACTGCCTTTTTTTTTTTTTAAGGCAGTGTCTCACTCTTGCGCAGCCTGGATTGCAGTGGATGGAACATGAAGTCTTATAGGAAACAGAGTGCCAGCAATATTAACCTTTTTAATTCATCTATCTTTGCAGCCCTGGTTTTTCTTTTATTGTTTTTTTTTCTCTCTCTTTTTCTTTCTTTCTTTTTTTTTTTTTTTTAAGATACCGTCTCACTCTGTTGCCCAGCTTAGAGTGCAGTGGCAGGAACATAACTCACTGAAGCTCCTGTCTTCTGGTTTCAAGCAGTTCTCATGCTTCAGCCTCCCAAGAAGCTGGGGTTACAAGCATGCACCACTAAGCCTGGCTGTTGTTTTGTTTTGTTTTGTTTACCGTAGAGATGAGGTCTTGCCATGTGGCCCAGGCTGGTCTCGAAGTCCTAGGCTCAAGCAGTCCTCCCACCTTGGCCTCCCAAAATGCTGGGATTACAGGCATGAGTCACTGATCACAGGCATGTAATGATTACATTACATGCCTGGTCCTAGGTTCTTAACGGGTAATGAAAATGTAAACATCTCATGTTTTATAGTCAACGATCACTTTAAAAAGAAGAAAGGGAAATTAGGTTTACGTCATAGGATAGTATTTTTCTTACTATGTTCATAATGTTAAGTAATTGTAGTTTTATTTGATTTTTTTTTTCTTTTGAGACACTGTCTTCCCCTTTCACCCAGGCTGGAGTGCAGTGCAAGATGTAGGCTCACTCCAACCTCTGCCTCCTGAGTTGAAGCAATTCTCGTGCCTCAGCCTCCCAAGAAACTGGGATTATAGGTGTACACCACTACACCTGGCTAATTTTTGTATTTTTACTAGAGACAGGGTTTCACCTCATTGGCCAAGATGGTCTTGAACTCCCAGGCTCATGCCATCTGCCTGCCTTGGCCTCCCAAAGTGCTGGGATTACAGGCATGAGCCACGACGTCTTGCCTGTACTTGAGTTCTTTTGAACAAGGAAAACTATTTGTTTTTTTAAAACATTTTATATGTTACACCTATGGAAATTCAGGTTCCCGGAATATTCAAATTTAATGTATTAAAAAGTGACCTTACTGTGTGTTTTTCTAAGTTTAATATTTTGGCTTCTTTATTATTTTGAATATAAATGAGATGTGAGCTGGTACCAAGGTGGGGAAAAGAGCCAGCCCAAGAACATCTCTGGGGGCTGGGAAAGCCCTCCCCTCTTCCTGAGAGGTCAGTCCATCCATGGGCATATATAAAAAAAAAATCCTAGGTGAGAAGTGTAAAGTATGCTAGAACCTGAGAGTCAAGTCTAGTCATCTTCCCTGGGGCCACATTCTGCAAGGCACTGGGAGCTCCAAAAGAAATGGAATGGGGTGGGAATTTAGCCTTTACTGGTTGGGGGAAGGGATGCTCTGAGACATTCATGTAATGTTATCTGTGTCAGCCCTTGGTTTTAGGTATTTTTGAATTACCAACTTTTTAGCAAATGATAAATGAAAATAATATCAGATAACTTAAACTTCATGTAGAAATACTATTTTTTTTTAGCAGTTGTGTCCTGCCAGATAAGCTACTCCCTTGGGAGAACTCTGTAGGTTTCAATGTTATACTTGGTAGTATTTTTTTATAGAAAACTTGGGTGAACTGTTTTTTGTTTTTGTTTTTTGTTTTTTTTTTTGGTTTTTCTTTTTTACATTAAAGCAATGTACATAGATTTCCATTCAACCTTTAAGGCTGTGGCTAGGAGGTATTTGCATATTTCAAGCTGTCTTTAAATACTCCTGTGACGTATAAATGAGCAGAACTTAAAAGAGCTCTGTAAGGGCATATGATTAATAATTTTTATAAAAATGCTGCTACGATTGCAGGTCCTTTTGGAATAAATCATGGAATTGAACTTCATTCAGATGTGGTGGAATATGCCAAGGAAAAACTGGAGAGCTTCATCAAAAATAGTGATAGCTTTGATAAGTAAGTATTCGTATCTATAGTTTTGGTTTGAAATTACTTAAACGGATACATGGAACATGTCTATTCGTGAACACTATTATTGATCCTGAGTTGCTCAATTGAATGCAGCAAAAATCAGTGCACCATAAAATGAGAAAAAGTTAAGACTTCTATAACTTTTACTATATATAATTCTATGGTAAATTTAAATCTAGTAAATTTTTGCTACTACCACTTTATTAGTAATGTTGAATTCATTAAACATTATTCAAGTATCTTTTCTGGAGATACAATATAATACTGTGATTGCAGTATTTTTCTGGAACTGTTTTTTTACCTTTTGAATAGTAATTTAGTAGTTCTTTCCTGAACCTTCAGTTGTAATGTAAGAGGTGGTACCTATCAGTATACAAAAGACTTTAACATATTCAGCTACTTTGTAATATATCCAGAAGAAATGATCATAGAAATACATTGATACATCTTGTGATAGGATTGTTTATGAGAAATGAGTTTATAAAACCATCCTTTTGAACTCACAATGGAACTCCCTTTAGAAGAAACATTGTACAGGCTTTGGTCCTTGGGCTGGCAGGAAAAGTCCATTTGGTGTGTAATTCTACTAGAATTCTGCATTGTTGTGGAGCAAGGGCACTTATGCTGAAGTTTGTGAACTCTGAAATTGTGTAAAACTTTGAGAGCTTTCACATCCCTTATTTCTCTGTGTATCTTATTTTCAAAGAGATAAAGTGTTAAAAAGGATAGAAAACACAAACTTAGAACACAGTCACTTTAAAGAACAAACTTTTTGGTAAAAGCATTGAGAATTCCAACTTGGCTTGCTGGGAGTGGACCCTCATCTTCAGCCCATGGCCATGACCATCAACAACTTGAGGGAGAGGGGGCTAGATCAGAACTGAGGGCTTTGTTCTAAAAGATCTAGATTGAAGGACAGCAGCAGGAGAGAAGAAGCCAAAAAACCTTGTAAATATCTTCAGAGGAATGGTTTTTTTTTCCTCTCCTCCCTTTGCCCTTCCTCCCCTTTCTCTTGCGCCTTTGTTTGATTCTCCTTTGCAATGCCAGTCTGTATTTATCCTCTGGCAAGTGGCATTTGATTGGTTGAAGAACAGAAACCTGATGTAATGGAGCAAAATCCTCAGTACTTACAGTGAAGGCAAGGTCTTGCGTCTACCTAGGTGTGCTTGTAACTATGTTAAAGCCCACAGACATGCATGGGAGAGTTGGGAAATGCTCAGGTTTTATTTTCACTGTAATTAATTCAATGGATTTAAGCAATCATTTAAATGTTCTGCATTAATTTACTGAGCACCATCCTTTATCTTATTTATGCCTGTCTTTATAAACAACACGTAATGCACATTTTTTATTCAGTTTTCAAGGCTTACTGTGTTGGTTCATATCCTATTTTCAAGAAAAGCACGTTTGGTAGAAATAAATGTTTAGTCCAAATTATTTGATAAGAAATTGGGTTTCAATTTTAGCATCCTTTTGTGTCTTTATTGTTTCTCTCTGTCTTAAGAATTATAGTAGCATGGTAAGTGCTTAAGATGTAGCCGTGAATATATTTTTATACAGTTATTAGACTTATAGAATTTCGTTCATTTTATTTAACTGCTGTTAAGTATTTGTTTTGATCTTGAAAGTTAATGTACACAAAAGGGCTTTTTGAATACATTTGGACTTGGAAAATATAAAAGTTATATTAGTAATATCAACTGTTTAAGGTCTATTTTAAGCTGTTGTATATTAGTTATTAATAGATTTCACCTATTAATACATAAAGACACATATAATTCCATTTTGGGTCATTATTTGAGCAGAACAGACTCAAGGAAGACTCTTGAATCAGTGAAGCAACTCTGTACAAGTGTCTGTGGAGCTCAAGTTTATTGCTGGCAAGTGGGTATAGTCCTGGGAAACAGTAAAATATGCGATTTAAAGCATTTCTATGTTGATGTAATTTAAATAATAATCCACAACACAGATAAGTTTCAAGACTACTTAAGTGTCTCCATTTTTAAAAATTTCTCTTATTTTTGTAATTGTAAAATGCACAAATTTCCCTGCCTTATATTTCTTTAGTTTAATTTTGTTGTTACTGTGTTATATAGGTTTGTTATTCATAAAATGATCAATCATAAAATACAGTGATATGACTGATATGTTTCTCTATAATTTTCAATGGTCTTGTTTTAGTTATTATACGTAGTTACTTCTTAAGTGTTTGTTACAGGTTATTTTTAAAACAGATTCTTATATTCATGAACTAGTCTTGAAGAAGACAGTTCTGCAAGTTTTATTCCAATCTTCAGTATACTAAAATATTACTATTTTGTGTTTCAGATTATAAAGTAGCTTGTATACAAAGAGTAGTATGTACTAGGAAGACGTTTCATTTGGCATAATGTAATGAGTGGCTGGATTCAGTGTTTTTTTTTTTTGTTGTTACATTTATACAGTTTGGTTTCAGTGACAAATTATAAAATGATATTTTTCTTCTTACAAATGTTTTATTTTCAATTTCTCTTGATGTTTGTGGATAATATTTCAACTAATTTTCAAGTTAAAATTTTACAAGCTTTCTCGGCAAAGTGGTTTTTAAAATCTTATTTCTAAGCAGTTTTATTGAATTATGTATGGTTTATCAAAGTACATATTTTAGTTAACAAAATATAAAATAACTGAGGAAAATTAATTGTCATATTTATATATTCCTTAGTACCAGATTATCCCTGATTATGTGTAATGGAGAGAGAATAAATAGCTGAAACCTAATATTCTTCAAGTCTTTTTTATCCTGTCAGTTTGGATTTTTTTTTAATCAATCCCCTCTTCAAAAGTATTATCATGTCACGTATGATTTCAATTCCATTTTTAAAATTTTCTTATATACATTTATTTAAGATCATAGTAAACTCCCAAATACAGTAAAGGGGGAAAAACCCTTATGCTAATCAGCATTAGAATATATAATGTTAGATGACCTTTTTAAGAATACAAATATAGGCTGGGCATGGTGGTTCACACCTGTAATCCTAGCAGTTTAGGAGGCCAAGGCAGGAATATTGCTTGAGCCCAGGAGTTTGAGACCAGCCTGGGCAGTGATGGCAAAATGCTCTCTACAGAAAAGAAAAAAAAATACAAAAATTAGTTGGGCATGGTTGCACATGCCTGTATTCCCACGTACTTGGCAGGCTGAGGTGGGAGGGTCGCTTGAACAGAGGAGGTAGACGTTGCAGTAAGTTGAGATTGCACCACTGCACTCCAGTGTTAGCGACAGAGTGAGACCCTTTCTCAAATACAGTACAAATATATGTTTTTATGTTGTGTAAAGCTTGATTCCTGTGTCTTCAAAGTAGTATTCTTTCATTTTTCTAAGTACTTTTAAAGTTTCTATGTCTTAGTCTTATGTCAGCAAATGAAATAATTTAGAGAGGCTACTCTGAATTTACTGTACTGGAGATGGGAGGGAAGGAGTAAGTTTCAAGTCTGATGTAATGCGTTGTTACATATGGTATTCTTAAATTCACTGAAATTCTCTTATAAAAATGATGAGGTTTCAAGGGTCCTCTGAAACACTGGCAAGCTTTCCCCACAAATCCCAGTCAGTAAATCTTTTAGCCTTCTTAAGCTAAATGGTCTCTGTTGCCACCACCTGACTCTGCCTTTGCAGTATAAAATTGGAAACAAATGCCATGAAAATGAATGGGCGTGAGGGTGTTCCAGTAACACTTTATTTACAATAACACTCTGTTTATGAGCTGTAGTCTGGACTTGGCATGCTGTCCATAGTTTGCTGACTCCTATTGTACTTTTACACATGCTCTCCTAAATATTCTGTTTTTAGCTAGACAAGTAAAGGACTTTAGGTATCTGGCTTTTGAGAGAAAAGAAGGATGTTGGGAAAGTCAAATTATGAGTCAGTATTTGGGCATGTACAGTTAAAAAAACATCTCTCCAGCTTTAGTTACTTAGAAGAGTATGTTAGTTAAAGGAGCCTGAATTATAAACTTTTTACCCTGTAAATACTTTGCAAATGAATTGATTATTAGTATAGCATTTATTTATTTATAACCACAGATATGTGATGCATATACATGTAGGTATTTGGTTTGGCCCCCTAGAATGCATGCTTTGGAGAGGGCCATGTTCTTGTAAAGCAGTAGGCCAGAAATCCTGTATTCTTCTCCTCCTAGATGACTTAACAGCTGTGATTCTGAAAATCTGACAGTGTCCATAGCCAGATGAGTATAATGTAGTTTGAATTATTGGAGATTTTCATTCCATATGAATGAAAGACCATTGTCTCTGTATAGTGTGCCGTATAAATGAGTCATGGTATCAGTGACGAGAACAGTAATGAGGTGATAAATAGCACCTCCTATGCATTGTCTGTGCATTAGTGTTAACCATTCTAAATGTTTTATCCACAGTTCTAGAGACAGTATTCATTGGCGTCTTCACATTTCCCAGATGAGAAAACAGGATTAGACAAAGAGGCTATAACCTGAGCCTGGCAGCCTTTTTACATAGTTCTAGTTTGGCTCTTAGGATGTAAATCTTGATTTATTCTAATATCTCTTCCTAGCAAGGGGCTGTTACCGATGAATTACAGCCTAGCAACTTGGATAGGAAAGTTGAAGCAATAGTTTTATTTTCATCATTTACTTTCTTCACATTAGAATTAAGGTATGCTGTTAACGTATAGCACATCTAATTCACTATGACATTTATATTAAAGAGCATACCTCCTTGTTCACGGAGACTTGCCTATGCCATGAATTTTTATTGCTGTCAGGGATGGGTGGGGGAGGCAATTCATTCCTCAAATTTAGTTGAGGTCTAAGTTTTATATGTAGAATTAGAGTAGTCTTGTAATTTAGAAGATTTAGTTGATATGGTCATATCTACTATCCTTAAATTATATGTTCATTTTTCACATATGATTTGCATTTGAAAATTAGATGCTTCTGTATTCTGTCATCTTTTATTAACTTCAT